GATCTTACGGCCTGGATTGGCGCCATTGAATCGTGGGCCAAGGAGGCTCGAAAGGGCTCTGTGAGGAGCGCGCGTGGGAGTTCTGGCAGAACAAGACCTGGGAAGGAAAGGCCGTCGGTGATGGCGATCTTTGGAATCGACGACGGAGGCCATCCGGAGAAGGATGTCTACACCGAGGACGACGACGAAGACGATTTTGAGGAACCGCTCGACGTCGAAGAGGCAGTTCAGCAGTCGGTTGAGATTGGAGGAGAAGGAGACGCCGACTCGACGCTGGTTGAAGTTGAGTCGGTTTCGGCGTTGAGCCTCGAGCGGCTCGCCGATTCCCGCACGCTCTCCACATCCTCTTCCGTGGGCTCGACGACAGGCTCCATCACAGGCGCCTCCTCGATCTCGTCGATAGCGTCAGTCGAGCTTGCTGTCCAGGGAACCTCCGACGGACCCAACAGCTCGAGTGCAGCAGCTCTCGAACCACGACGCACCACCGCATCGCCCCTGCCCAGCGCATCACCCTTGCCCACCGCTGTCGCACAGCTCCAGCCACCGCACCCGTCGCCGTCGCCTTCGTCCTCGCCGTCGGTTCTCCCATCCGAGCCGACGCCGTCCGCGCTGACGCTCTCGCGATGGCTCGCAGAACTATCACGCACCGGCTGGTGCTCGGACCGACCGATCCTCGACCTGCTGCGACGCATGATCACCCTCGTCGCGACCCTGCTGACGGTGCCCGCGACGACGTACCCGGCGGCGGCGACCGTCCGTGCGACGCTGGTCGCGTGCGTGGTGGAGCTGCTTGTGACGGCCGGGCGAGAGTGGGACCGCCACGATACGCGGTTGGCGGATCCGTTGTACCGCCGCTTGCGCAAATGGGGACGGTCTGGTGAAGGAAGTGGGGGTGCCAAGGGGAAGGCAGCGGCGGCCGCCGCAGGGTCGGCGCTCACCACTGAGGAATACGCTGCTGTGCAGGTAAGCGGCAACCTTCATTTCTTTTTTCGATCGTGGGTGTCGAAAACGCTTCTTCCAATTGACCTCCCCGTCGTTGCAACACCATCTGCCTTCCGCCCAAAAAAAAACTCCAGCGTGTCCTGTACCTCCGCAAAAGCAAATGGATCCTCCGCGAGACAAACGACTCGTGAAGGCTTTTACAAATGCAAAGCAGAAAGAGAAGCGTAGACGCTCTTAATTATTTTCCTTTCTTGGGCAGCGAAAAGAAACTCCGCATCAGAAAACGTATATTTCCCCCGACTATCACAATCTACTCGATGGTCGACATTTCGACCTTTATAGCGTTTTGCTTTTTTCGATATTCCTTGCCAGCCGCCATGTGGGGTGCTTGACCGCCCTCCCACCCTCCGCTTAGTGCCCCCTCCTCCAGCCTACACACGATACCGGTTCCACAATTTTGTTTCTCCCTTTTTTTTTTTAACGATTTCCCCTTTGCCGTCGTCTCCCGCGTCCCGCCCAACCCCCTTATCACCCTTATTTCCCAGTAACTCTGCACCGCCAGGCGTCCTTTGACCCGTCTGGGTGCTTCCGCAACCCGACTTGCTCTTACAAGACCACCCCCTTCCCTCCCTCCTCGCCCCGTTCCACCCCCTCAAAGCCCATCCCACTTTAAACCACCAGCCCTTTGCGGGTTTCTCCACCCGACCTTATTTGAACCCCCTTTTTCCCCCGAACATTTCTTCGTACGCGCGCGCGCGCCTCAATGTCTCTGGAGACATATTGCCGTGCCACAAACGGAACTCGAAACCCCCCTCTGCTCCCCTCCCACACCGACCCCAACTGTTCTCCCCATCTCCCGATTTCTTGCATCTCTCTTGTGAAAATATGTGTGTGTGTCCTTGTGTGTGTATGCGTAGGGGGCGCCTTTTTTTTTTTTTTTTTTTGTTTGATGAGGGGGGATTCTTCTCCCTCTTTTTCTCCCAAACAATCCCTTTTTTCATCGTCTCTGTTCATCATCTTCTTCCCTTTTTGTTTCCTTCCTTCTCACCCGCTCTTTTGCGGTGTTGTTGTGTTTGAAAGTACCCCCCCTTCCCCCTCCCTTGTGAAACGTCTAGTTTGTGCTTTATTAGTATTACAAAAAGTTTGTAGTTTCTATCCATTCGCGTCGGCGTTTTGATTGTCGTGGAACGCTCGTATTTTTCTCTTCTTTCTTTTTTGCTTGAAGATCTCTGAGGGTGTGAGTCGAATGCGTGTGTGCACCGTCGACGTTGTGGCTGCCAATTTGTCACACGACGCCCCTCCCCCCCGAGAGAAAGCGTTTTGGATTTCCCTTGTTTTCCACATGTTCCGTCTTCGCTTATATTTTAGTTCGATTTTTTGGCAAGCGCCCCGGCAACACAGCCCTTTTCTTTTCCTTTTTTTCTTCTTTTTTTTTCACACGGGAGGGACGCGCGCGGCGGCCGGGGTAGGGAGGGAGAATTCGATCATGGAGTGGAAGACTTTTTTTGTGTTTTTTTTTTCCGGTTTTTTTTTTTTTTTTTTGGTTTGGTTTTGGTTTTGGTTTCAGTTTAAGACGGATATGACAGACAGCACACACAACAACGCGGAAAAAGGGAATCCAAAGCACTCACCCTGCCGACAAATCGGACACTTTGGCACGGCCGCTGCCCCGCTCGCGGCCGGCGCCGCCGCCCCCGCCCTCCCCGCCGTGGCAGCAGACCTCCCGAGCCCTCTCAAGACCTCGGCGCAGTCCCTACAGAGACAGAGGTGTCTGCACGGCAGCACGGCGGTGTTCTTCAGCGCGGCCATGCAGACGACGCACTCGCGCATGGTCTGGAGGTCCTCGGGGGACACGAGGGCGGAGGGAGGGGTGGGTTCGTCGGCGCCGGTGCCGGTGGGGTCGGTGAAGCCGTAGATTTCGTGGAGGGTGTAGGAGGTGGTGGTGGTGCTGGAAAGGGATGGCTTTTTGGGTCTTTTTAGTTGCTGGATAGGTGCGAGTGAACGTTACCATTGCTTTCTGTTTGAGGACTTTGGCTTCGATGGTGCCGCCGTGGGTGGTTAGAACGGCGTACGTGACGAGGACAGGCAAGATGCTTTCGTCGTGTTCGGTGTCTGGGGGGGGTGGGGGTTGGGGGGGAGGAGAGGGTAAGCCATGTAGGGAGATCAAAGAGCCCTTGCCCAACCTTTACTGGACGCGTCGATCACAATGACTAGTGGATAGTAAATGTGTCCACCGTCATCTGAAATAAAAAATAATAAGTACCCGCGAGGCTACGCCGTCAAGAGAAAAGAAGAAAAGAAAAGAAAAAAACGCCTGCCAAACGACTTTAAGCGTCCCACTCTCTTACCGTCAAACTGTGGGTGGTCGCTCGGGTAACCCACGAGCTCGCCCACCACCGTGTCCGGCACGTTGTGGCTCGCTGAGGCGGCATCCGGCATTTTACCGGCCGCGACCTCGGAGGGTCCCGTGCCCTGTTCAAGCGGCTGAGGCGCCGGTGGGGGCGGTGGGGGCGGTGGCGGAGCCAGCGGCGGGAGGGGCGGCAGCTCTCCGTCGCCCGCTGCGGCTGCGGGGGCGGCGGCCGCTGCGCTGTCGAGACCCTGGGCGAACAGGTGGTCTCCGCGGTACAGCGCGGGTTCAAACAGGTCGTCGTCGTGGAGGCTAAACTTGCAGTGGAGGCCCTGCGGGAACGGGCCGTACGTCTTCACGTGGTGCGGGAGGGTCTCGGGCCTCGTAGTCGGCCGCGGGAGGAACGCGAGCCGCGGACGCCTCCCTCCTCCTCCGTCGCCGCCGCCGCCGTCGTGGTCGTCGACCTCTTCGCTCACCCAGGCTTCGCGGCACGCAAAGTAGAGGGTAACGGTGCAAGGGGCGGAGGCGTCGAACGAGAACTCGATGTTGTAGCGAGGGCGGGTGGCGGGGGGTGACGGCGGTCGAGGAGGAGGAGGAGGACGGGGACGGCGGGCCGGGAACGACGGGGACGAAGCGGAGCGAGTTTTTCTTGAGGTAGACCAGGGACTCCAGGGTGAGCGTGCCGGAGGGGTCGTCGGCGGACGGCTGGTCGGAAAAAATGGTTAGTGAAGGGGGGGAAGGGGGGGATAGCTTTCTGGGAGGGTCGGCTTTTCACCTCGCTGTACAGTCGGACGGCCTCCTCGATATCGCTCTTTGTCATACGGGAGAGGCTCACGCCTTGGACCCCGGACCGGAGCCCCCACAGATCGGACGCCATAGGGGACCGTGAGTGCATCGCCGCCAGGGCGGCCGCCGAAAGGCCTCCGCGCTCCGGATCGGAGGAAGAGGCCGCCGCCGCCGCGGCGAGATGCGGCGAGTTGACGAGAAAGTGCGGGCCAAAGTACAGGCGGGACGTTTCGCCAAAGTAGGAGGCCGCGATCGCCGGCTGCTGCCGCGGGGACGATGGGGGGAAGCTGGCGGCGGCGGCGGCGGACGACGGCGGGATGATGTCGATCGGGTGGTGGGCGTGGTTGCGATCTCGGCGGCCGTCGTCGTCTAGTGCTGGTCGCGCCTGCTGATGCGGATGCGGATGCGGGTGCGGGTGCGATGGGGAGGGAAGCGACGAGGACGACGTCGATGTCGCGGTCGCCATCATTGGTCGGCGAGAGGGTGGGTTGGGTGGGTGGCGTGAAGGTTGTCGTGCGAGCGCAAACTGTCTTCTTGCGGCTTTTGGGCAGCTCGCCTCCAAAAATACAAAACATGGCGCAGGCAGTCAAGTTGACTCGAGGACTCGCGGTCCCCCCCAGCACGGACTCACTGAAGGCTCGACCGAAAGAAGCACATGCTCGAGACTGCTTTTCCGCCTGCCTGCCATCACTGAGGCCCGCTTCCCTCCGGTCATGTTTGAAGGCTCTTTGCCAGCATTGAGCTCAGTACCCACCCTCGCCTCCCCTGTTCAGCGCGCATTCACGCATTTTCATTCACCAATGCTTTCGCCGCCCGGCCTCCGTCCGACTTTCACTTGCTGCCAGGTAGTTCGTGTTCATTTGGTCGAACGAATGTGTAAAGTGTGTATACACGATGTAGTGTACATTGTGATTACCCATTTAACGCCTTCTTGGCTCAGTTGGCAGAGCGTCTCCCTAGTAAGGAGAAGGTCACCAGTTCGATTCTGGTAGAAGGCAGTAGATTAAGAGTTTAAACTACACGTTCTCTGCTTCTGGCCGCTCTTTTTCTCTGGGGACGAAAAGCGCTGGCAATATCTGCCAGTTATTGTAGCCACTTTGGGCACAGGCAGAACTCCGCCAGTATTGTGGTTTCTGCTCAAAATTGAATAGGAGCCTTTTTTGGATTTGCACACAAAAATTTGCACATGGAAAGGACGTGGCCTACCATATTGTTGTGGAACCCTTTTGACCGTTGCCGCAGCCCCTGACGAAGAGCAAATAGTCAAAACCTTCCAAGAAAGAAGCGCTCTTTGTCACACCTGTGGTGTGAGGTTAAAAAAGAAGTACTGTGAGACTACGCCAAGTGTCAGGAACAGGGCAGGACAGGACAAGGCAGACAAGGAACTGAGAGGAGTGATGATTGTATTGGAAACAATAATTCACTTGAGGGATGGGACAGGTCCCCCATCCCCCTTTTATACCTTTTGAGAGTCTTCCTTGTCAAGTCTCAAAGAATGTTCCAGAAAGAGCAATTAGTAATGCAATGATACCAATGATACCAATGACAACAAGACAAGTCAGGAAAGCAAAGAAGGTTCCAGAAGGTTCCACAAGGTTCCATGAAGGAATGTTCAAGAAGGTTCCAGAGGTTTCCAGAGGGTGATTCATAACACCAAGGTCTCATCTTGGGACTACTCTAAAAACAAGCATACCTGTCATAAGACTGCAAGGATCCCCTTTTATTATTGTGGAGAGCTTGGGGTGGCTGTGCAAGAATAGAATAAACCATACTCACTATTACCATTGAGATATTTGGGAACTCAAACAAGGATCTTCATGTGCGGCTTGCTGGGATCCATGCTGAAGGCACCAAGATATGAAACTGCTGGGGCAAGGTCTGGTTGCATGTGCGTTGCAAGGTAACTGGTGCTGCCAAGGATTGCCTAGTACAGTCTCTGACCTGTGGCTGCTTTGTTGATCCTACGTGGCTGAATATTGAAACTGCTGGGAAGGGCAGTTACTGCAGCCAAACTTTGCTGTCACTGCAGTAGCCGTCAGGCTGCTCCATATAAATGCTTGGTGTGTGTCAGGTGGAGGGGTGGTTGTTGTCGCCAACTGGGGACAAAAATCAAAAATATTTGGTGAATAGTGTGTGGGTTCCAGGTAATCTGGTGAGTGTGAGAGGAAAAGGCATCGTTCGTCACAAAGGAGGGTGATTATGGGATGCCAAAGATCGCAAGCGTGTAGTCCGGAAGCAGGGCTTTCCAATGATAGCTTGGGGTTAGATGGGGGAGGTCTGGAAGGCCAGCAAATTGAGGTTGAAGGTGGTAAAGTGGATGACAACTTCAGTGGTGGTGGATACAATGTAGAGGTGTCTTATCCGGGCTCCAGAGGGTTCTTTGGAAAGAGGAGAGTAGTTTGACTGCTGTGTGACGTCTGGAGCGATTGTGGTGGGTCATCGAAGTTGCCAGATCTGAAAAGCGTGTACTCTTTTCTATTAATTGGATCTGACTGGAACCAAGGGGGTTGTGATTGGGATGGGTAACAGTTTTGCATGAAGGAGTTTGCTATGTGGCTGATTGATGGGTTGGGCTGCTGTGGGAATGGGTGAAGTACACTACTAAAGGTGGTGGTTGAGCTTGGCTTCTGTCAGTCTTGTGTTAGTCTTTATACAAAACTGTTACAAGGACCAGCACTTGCAAAATGCTGGAAGTCATCCTTGCACAAGGTGCCCCTGTGCACACTACAGTGGCAAGGTCAAAGCTCCTGCACACTGCTACCCCACAAGACCCAAAAACTAACAGGAGGTGGAGCAGCTGTTGACAGTAATTGCAGTAGCATGGTGAGAGGAAGCAGCAGCATAGTTGAGGTTGCTGGAGGGGCTGGTGTGGTCAAGCGTGCTTTGTTTTTGTGGTGAAGTGGGTCCTGGGGCTTCAGCATTGGTTGCAACACTGGGTAAAGAATATATACATATATATATAATTTGCAGTCTATCCATATGCAGATTTACTATTTCTGGATTTCCACACCAGTCCTAATTGTGCACCAGAACAGTGGTGCAGGTAGGTGTTATGAATCACCCTCTGGAAACCTCTGGAACCTTCTAGAACATTCCTTCATGGAACCTTCTGGAACCTTCTGGAACCTTCTAGAACATTCCTTCATGGAACCTTGTGGAACCTTCTGGAACCTTCTTTGCTTTCCTGACTTGTCTTGTTGTCATTGGTATCATTGGTATCATTGCATTACTAATTGCTCTTTCTGGAACTTTCTTGGAGTCTTGACAAGGAACACTCTCAAAAGGTATAAAAGGGGGATGGGGGACCTGTCCCATCCCTCAAGTGAATTATTGTTTCCAATACAATCATCACTCCTCTCAGTTCCATGTCTGCCTTGTCCTGTCCTACCATGTTCCTGACATCATAATTCACTTCACCCTCCCCCACTACTCTCTGCCATCATGTCTGACCCAAACAACACCTTCCCTGATGCAACTGCCTTCCAAGCCTTGATGGACCAATTACAAGCCCTTTCAAGACAGACACACCAACTTCAAGAACAAGTCCTTCACCAGCAGCACCAGCTTCAACAACAACTTCACCAACAAGAACATCAAGCTCTTCCCCTGCCTCAAGCCAACCAAGCAAGAGAGCCCAAGGTTCCCAGCCCTGACAAGTTCACTGGGCTGGCCAAAGACCTTAGGAACTTCATGGCCACTGTGGAGAATGTCATCCTTCTCCAACCTTCAAGATTTCCCAGTGAGCAAGTCAAGGTTCTTTTCACAAGCACCCTCCTGTCTGGTCAAGCTCAATCATGGTACAGATCTCTCCCAAGCACACCCACCACCCTGCAAGAGCTCTGGGAAGGGCTGGAAGCTACCTTTGGTGACCCCTACGCATCTTGGACAGCAAGATCCAAGCTCAAGCATATCAAGCAAGGAAAGCAATCTTGTGTGGCCTACACCAACCAATTCAAGCAACTAGCCAGAGACTCTGGATACAATGATGCAGCTCTGATGGAGCTGTACCATGATGGTCTCCATGAGTCTATCCAAGACATGCTCTCCCAGTCTCTGCACATCCCTGAGACCTTGGAAGAGTACATTCTCCTTGCCATCAAGATTGACAACAGACTCTACTCCAAGAGGCTGAAGCAAAGACAAGTAGGAACTACATCAAGACCTACCCCAGTTCCTCAAGCTCTTACAGTTCCTGAACCCATGCAAGTGGATGCAGTTGAGACACTTCCTAAGGGTCCTCTGAGCCAAGAGGAGAAAACAAGGAGGGCCCAGCAGGGACTGTGTTTTTACTGTGGCTCCAAGGAGCATGCTGTCAAGGACTGCCCAAGGAAGAAGCACCCAAACTCCCAGGTCCAGGCTCACTGAGGGGCAATTCCCTGGACCCTCCTCCAAGCTGCCCCTGTTTCATCACCACCACCAGCACCACAAACACCTCAGATTCCAAGCCCCACCAACTCACCATGGATGTCAAGATTCAACTCTCACCCAAGTCAACCATCACAACCAAGGCCCTTATAGACTCTGGATCATCCTGCAACATCATTGATGCCACCCTTGCCAAGTCTTGTGCCATTCCCACCATCAAGAAATCCACACCCCTCAAGGTCCACTTTGCCAATCATGCTCTGTTCAAGGAAATCAGCCATGAAACCAAGCTAAACCTCCACATCCAAGACTTTCCACCATCCATGGTCAACCTGGAAGTATTGGATCTTGGCTCACCCACATTCTCTGTCATCCTGGGATTACCATGGCTGCAAGCCCAGAACCCTGACATTGATTGGGTCACTGGTCAAGTCCAACCTCCACCAATTGGAACAGTCACCCAAAACTCAAGTCAAGCCTCCAAGTCTCATGCTCTCAAGTCCCTGATTCAAGGTTCTCAGCCTAGTATCCAAGGTCAACCACAAATGACAGCTCCAGTATCAGCCTGCAGCTCACAGATCCCAGCCAAGATTCAAATTTCACAGTTCACAGTTCATAGTCAAGATTCCAGTACAGCTCATAGAGCTCACAGTCATGGCCAAGTCTGTAGTTCACAGAACCCACAGTCAAAGATTCAAGTACCACAGTTCACAGTCCAAATTCAAGATTCAAGCTCCACAGCTCACAGTCTTTGCCAAGAACAGAACCCTCAGTCAAAGATTCAAGAATCGCAGTTCCCAGTCAAGAATTCAAGCCCCCCCACTGATGAGCACAGAAGGACAGACCTTGCACCTGAAGGGGGAGATGGTTTCACCCCACCATCCAAGACACACCTTTCACTGTTTCCTGACAGTGTGTGGGCCCATGCTATTTCCAAGGACCCCAAGCCTCACAAGATTCAAATCAGCCAAGAGGAGGAAAAACTTGAGATACTCAAGACAAGGCATGATGCAGCAACAGCTGGACACCCAGGAGAGCACAAGACATATGAGCTTGTTTCCAGAGACTTCTACTGGCTGGGCATGAGGAAGTACATCAAGAACTATGTCAGCAGCTGTGAAACCTGTCAAAGAAACAAATCCAGCAGACACAAGCCCTATGGACTTCTGGAGCCCCTCCCAATCGCCATCAGCCCTTGGTCATCAATATCCATGGACTTCATTGTGAAACTTCCCCCATCCCATGGATTTGACTCTATCCTTGTTGTCATCTGCAGAAGGACAAAGTTGGCCCATTTTATCCCCTGCACTGAGAATATAGATGCACAAGGAACAGCAGACCTGTTTTTGCAGCACATATTCAGGCTCCATGGGCTGCCTCAGTCAATCATCAGTGACAGAGGACCTCAGTTCAGATCTCAATTTTGGAAAGCACTCACAGCAGCCCTTGGAATCAAGTCTCAACTGTCAACTGCTTATCACCCTCAGACTGATGGACAAACAGAAAGAACAAACCAGACTCTGGAGCAGTATTTGAGGTGCTATGTCAGCTATCAACAGGATGATTGGCCCACCCTCCTTCCACTGGCAGAATTTGCTCTCAACAATTCTCTCCACTCAAGCACCCAGCTATCTCCTTTCTTTGCAACCTATGGCTTCAATCCAAGAGGAGATCTTCTGGGACAAGAGACCCTATCCAATGTCCAAGCTCCTGCTGCGGCTTCACACTTACATAAGCTCAAGATCATCAACTCCTTCCTGGACTCCACCCTGAAGCAAGCCCAAGAAGATGCCTCAAGATTTGCCAACACTCACAGAATGGACCATGACCTTGCTGTGGGTCAGCAAGTTTGGCTTCTGAGGAAGAACTTGCAGACCAAAAGACCAAGTCCCAAGCTAGACAACCTCAAGTTGGGACCTTTCAAGATCTTGGAGCAAATCAATCCAGTCACCTTCAAGCTGGATCTCCCTGCATCCATGAAGATCCACCCAGTTTTCCATGTCAGCCTTTTAGAGAAGTTTGTGGCCAATTCCATTCCAGGCAGAGTTGTTCCTCCTCCTCCTCCAGTTGAGGTAGAAGGTGAAGAGGAATTTGAGGTTGAACAAATCTTGGATGCCAAGTGGTTTGGAAGAACACTCAAGTTCCTTGTTAAGTGGAAAGGTTACTCAGATGCTGACAACACCTGGGAGCCTGAGTCAAACCTCACTCACTGCCAAGACCTTCTGCTTGAGTTCAAGACCAGGTACCCCACCAAGTTGCAGAAGAGGCCTAAAAGGGGGAGATGATGTTATGAATCACCCTCTGGAAACCTCTGGAACCTTCTAGAACATTCCTTCATGGAACCTTCTGGAACCTTCTGGAACCTTCTAGAACATTCCTTCATGGAACCTTGTGGAACCTTCTGGAACCTTCTTTGCTTTCCTGACTTGTCTTGTTGTCATTGGTATCATTGGTATCATTGCATTACTAATTGCTCTTTCTGGAACTTTCTTGGAGTCTTGACAAGGAACACTCTCAAAAGGTATAAAAGGGGGATGGGGGACCTGTCCCATCCCTCAAGTGAATTATTGTTTCCAATACAATCATCACTCCTCTCAGTTCCTTGTCAGCCTTGCCCTGTCCTGCCATGTTCCTGACAGTAGGATTAGGAGATGAAAACGACACGGAGATGGAAAATCTGTCAATATAAAGCCACTGTCATAATGAATATAATATTGGAATGGAACATCAGTTGGTATTGAGCTGCCATCGTAGATATGTATTTTTAATAGGCTGCCAGAACAAGAAGGCTCTAGAAAAATGCATTGATTATTGCTCTTGAAGATGCGAAGATTCCTAAAAACACATACGCTTTGGTGTCTTTGTGTAAAACACATCCACAAAGGCCAGGCATTCACAATTAGTTCTCTCCCAAAATTCTGATGATGAATAGTAAATGCCAGTCCTGAAGGATGGATGATGTAGAGCGTGGAGGAAATTCGACATTACTTCTACTTTACTTAGGCAAGCACCGCCACCATACTGTTTGTTAGGCGGAACTGACTGGTTAGCAGCAAGAGGCACAAGACAGATCCAAACCTATTGTGACTGTCAGTTATTGTTCTCACAATGCCCATGGGAGAGCGCGCCACCACTAATGCAGACCTGGGCCCTAGTTTACACTGTGCTGGTCATGCTTGCCTAGCAACTATTACAGTGTGCATATCAACATTATGTATCAATAATTCATAGCAGAGTCTTTTTTCTCGTTCTCTCCAGTTGGGGAGAAGGACCACCCACAAACACACATCTCCACTTCATTCACTCCTTTCACTCACTCACTCAGAGTAGACTGTTTACACTGTTCGTGACTTACAGTCAAGATGTGTGAGTCTGAGTGTTAAACTCAGCTGTGGATCCCCCACCGCAAGGCGCCATAGCTAGATTCCGTACCACTGTCCGTCCACCCTCGCTCTCCCAGCTCCAGCATATCCTGCAGTCGTCCTCCACCTTTGTTGGAATTCCAATTCCACAACCTTTTTTTTTTTTTTTTTTTTTTTTTTTTTTGATTCCCTCCTCCTTGCTGCATCTCCGCCTTCAGAGGCAGTGTTGGTTGCAGGAACAAGAAGGTCATGTCGAGCTGGCTTCGTTGCATAGTGCACAATCTGGAGGTCGCCTGCGGGCCAAGGCTGCAGCACAAAGAGTCATATCAATCAGATGCCTTCCTCAGAACCTTGGAGTACTGATGATTTCAGAGTTACGTTATGTGGTGCAGCTTTCGTCCCGACCATAGCTCAGTTGGAAGAGCGCATGACTGTAAGTGCAGTAGTGATATCATGAGGTCCCCAGTTCGAACCTGGGTGGTCGGATTCTTCCCCAAAGTTGGAAGGGATTTTCGGCGTTTGAGCGGGCCTGTTTTGGCGACATTATTTGTTACCTTGAAATTTGCAACACATTACGGAATCTAATTGAATTAAAGGGGGCAGTAGTGAGCGGCAGAGCAATTGAAGGCGTCGCAGATGTGCTGCATCACCTTAGGCATTCCAAGCCAATGTGATGAAACGTTATGGGAAGTTGGAGCAAATAGATTAATGACCCCACATTGAACACGCGGCCTTACATGCTCTACGGAGTCTACAATGACGAAAGGCGTAATTAGTGCCTGGATTACTGTTGTGGTGCGCAGCCCGAAAGCCAACTGCTTTGTGCAGTCTTCCGTCTCCGCTCCTACCTATTAGTTGACCGTGTTGGACAATTCATTTGCTGCCCGGATTTTTTTTTTTTTTTTTTTTTTTGGTTGTTTTTGATTCGATCCTAAACCCCCGCCGTCACGTTCTAGAACGCCGACCGGCCGCGCTCTCTCCACTAACCCTGGCAGTGGAGACATTACTCGTGCAAAAACACTGCTGAAAATAGACCCCGTTCAGCAGCCCGAAAAGCAATAGCATTTGCGGTTGGATTCGAATCTTGCACACACACAGACGAACACGGCAACATGCTCGCCCCACCGCCACGCAGGCTCGTCCTAGCCGCGCTCGCCTTTGTCCTGGTGCATCGCCGCAGCGGCGGTGCCCGCGCCGCTGCCCCGAGCATCGACTTGACATCTCAATGTAGGGAACATCCCCCCCACAACTGCTGACTTCGTCGCTCCGTTCAAATAAATCCAACTTGTCATTCCCTCCAAACCGTCCACCACCCTTCAATACCGTTACCCACCAACCCTCTCCAACATGCGCTCTCCAAAAAAAAAAAAACACCTCCCAACGGGCAGCCGACATCGCGCGCGCGTCCGTCGCGGCGGTAAAGTGGATGACGTACTACTACACGTCGCCGGCGCTGGACGGCGCGTGGGACCAGGACCTGATCCAGTGGCACGAATCGGGCGAGTTCTGGCACGCAAGTGTTTCCACCCCTTTTTCTCTTTTCCTTCTTTGTCGCCCTAAAAATACCCCCCCGCACGCACAACACACACAACACACCAGACGCTCCTCCTCTACCGGCAGTGGGCCGGCGCGAACGACACGAGCCTGGACGAGCTGATCAACTCGCAGATGCTGAGGGCGACGTTTTGGGAGCAAGGGGACTTTCTGGACGACGGCGGCGGGTCCGGGTCCATCTACCTCGGCAAGTGGAACGACGATATCGGGTGGTGGGGCACGGCCGGTGAGCTTTTGAACTCCCTCTCTCCGTTCTTTTTTTTTTATATAAGGTTTCATCGTGTGAGGGCTAAGGGTTGTGTGGTTGCAACTCACGAAAACCTCCTCCCCTGCGCGCACAACGTCACAGCCGCGACCGCGGGCGAGCTCTACGGCGCCCTCACGCCGATCCACGACCCGAGCTCCTCCTCTCCCACGGGCAAGCCCTGGTCGTACGTCGCGTCCACGACGTTCAGCCACATGCTCGAGCAATGGGACTCTCAATGCGGCGGGGGCATCTACTGGTCGCGGAACCGGGGCGACTCGGACCTGACGCGGAAGTTCTACAAGTCGACGATCACGAACGCGGAGGCGGTGCACCTTGCGGCGAGGTTGTACGCGCTTGGCGGGGGGGTGGGAGGGGGGTCGGCGAGGAATGAGACGGTGAGGGAGTGGGGGGAGAGGGTGTATGGGTGGATGAAGGCGGTGGTGGTGAACGCGACGGGGGATTACAGGATTGTGGACGGGGGTGATGGCGGACGGGTCGTGCACGCGGGACGAGGATCCGGTAAGGGTGCTTTTCCCACCCCGTCTGTTTGTTTCTTTGTTGGGGCGGCCCACCATCGTTTCCGCGGGCGATTCTGAGTACTCCCTTTTTTCCCCCAGTGGAGCTACAACTCCGGCGAACTCATCTCGGGCCTGACCGTCTTCCACCAAACCACCGGCAACCTCAGCTACCTGACCGAAGCCACCTCCCACGTGACCTACGCGCTCTCTGCCTTTGTGAACGCGTCCAACAGCGTGATCTGGGACCCGGCGTGCGACTACAACGGCGGCAACACGATCTGCAAGGAGCCGAGCGGGTACCCGTGGGCGCTGTACCGGGGGCTGGGGACGTACTACCGGGCGGCGGCGGCGGCGGGGGTGGACGCGGCGGGGCGGCGGCGGATCGAGGAGGTGATGAGGGCGACGGCGAAGGTGGTGTTGGGGAGGTGCGATGAGAGGTGGTATTGTATAAGGGATTTGAATCCTGGTGAGTAGTTGCGTGCGCAGGGTGTGGGGTGTGTGTGGGTGGGTTGTTGGTGTGTGCGACAGCTGTTTTGGCCCCACGCCGCCCCGACCCCACCTTTTTGTTCACGCTCCAAAAATTTGCAGTGCCGAAGCAGTACACGTTTCCGAACGGCACGAACCCGCGCGACCAGATCGAGGCGATGGAGATTTTGAACACGCTGGCGAAGCTGACCTGGCCGACGGGGTCGGGCGCGGCGACGGCGTCGAACGCGACGACGGGGGCGGCGGCGACGGCGACGACGCGGTCGGACTCGCGGCGGCGGGCGGGCGGGGCGGGGCCGTGGTGGCGAGATTGCATTGTTGCCGGCTCGGTGGCGGCGCTGGCGGCCGTGGCGGCGTCATTGTCGTGGGTGGGTGGGGCGTGGTAGGAGGCGGGGACCGGTTTCAAATACAGCCCCTGAGGCATCCCAAGAAAGTTTTTGAGAAGAAATGCTGTGGATGCAGGCCGCAGGCACTGATTTTGGTGCCTTCTAAAGTAACTTTCTTTTGAGTCCATCCGATGCAATCCGCATCTCTCCTCAACGACACATCACGCCGCCGCGTCTTCGCCCACCAGCGTAGCCTCAGACTCCATCCGCTCGAACACGCCTCCGCCCGGCATCCCCACCATTCTCCTTTCGCTTGTGCCACAACCACCACCACCACCACGGGCTTCCGCCGCCTCGACGTCTCGGCGGAGGCCGGGGACCACCTCGATGACGCTCCGCGCTTCCTCCGCCGAAAACGCGGTGACGGTAACGGGAGCGGGAGGTGGTGCGTACAGGACGGTCGGATAGGGTTGGGAGGGTGGTAACGCCGAAGAGGCGAGCTCAAAGTGAAACTGTGATTGGAGAAGGCAGGCGCGTGTTGGGAGGGAGCAGTTGAGTCGTTGGTGTCGTGGAGGAAAGTGTTAGAAAGGGGCAGTTGCATGCTGTTTGGTTTGAAGTTTCGATTGAAGGGAAAATCTGGGAACCCACCTCATGCGTGATGGCGATTCTGTTTGCGAACGAGCCGGACGGGTTGACGCCCAGAGTTTTCGGTGCGAAATAGGAGAGCCATCCGCCAACCAGTCCATAGGAACGAGTCGCCTTTGCCCTCATTCGAAGTGCGGCTGCTAGCGGTGGAATCTTAAGGAGAAGCTAAATTTTTCGGAACGCGGAAATAAGCATGAGCTGGATGTCAGCGTTCGAACCGTGTTGACAGAGCAACGACGGTCCCCAACCCAACACATCGACACGCAGGCACACCCCGCCCCCCATACAGCGAATGTCTCCTTACCTTCTTCCCTCCGTCTCTGGAAAACTCGCCCGGCTCCGACTCTGGGACTTCCCATAGGGCAACTCGATGTCGCATGTACTTTCGTCCAAGGCTCGTACCGTCCATCATTTCCCTCATTTTGAGCATGTATGGGTCCTTTGCAGGGTCATGCTGAAACTCGTCCGTGCCAGCGTGTGCAGGCCGGCGAGGGGTGGGTGGAGCGCCACGATCGTCTCCACCGCCGCCGCCACCAATGACGATACCGACGCCCTGGGTTTCTTCCAGCCAGATTCGGCATACGAGAAGCGGCGCCCCTAGGATCGGTGGTGGCGAAAGAACCTTGATGTGAAACGGGACCTCGTCGGCGGGTCCGAAGCAGCATCGGCCGAGAGTCGCCTCAACGTTGACCTCACCGTCCGCGCCGCCACTGGTGTCGTCGGAGCGAGCGGTCGAAGGCCCACCCGTGCGGCCATCGTCGGCGACGGACGACCACGTCCACGTACCGGCCTTGCCGCCGACGTTTGCGGCGCGGAGGAGCGGGGCAGGGGCGTAGCGCTTGACGAGGACAGGTGCGGAGGCGATTTCTCGCAAGAGCCACGTGGCGAGGGCGTAGCGGCGATGGAGTGCGTGGACGAGGGGGTGCGTGTGGTGATAGTGGTGGTGGTTGTCTGTCGGAGGGTGTCTGCCGTGGCGGTAGTTAGCACGGGTTCCCACCGACGCGGCGGCGCTTCGGCTGGATTGTGGAGGCGGCGGGGGTGGTGAAGACCAAATCCACGAGGGCCACCACCAGGGAGAATCGGCGGAAGTGGACGACGCAGCTGATGCTTGGAGGAGTTTGGAGCTCTGAGGGTTCCACGGCGACGGGCCTGACCGTACTCCGGTCGAAGAGCGCACGACGGGGAACAGCCTCGCCGCATCCGCGACGGCCTCGCCGACCGAGGCGATTCCTCGTTTCCTCCGCGCGTCCGGCCCACCGATGTCTACGAAAACCTCTGCAACCACCTCATATTCGATCCGCGCGCCGAATCCCCACTCCGGATCGGCAGCGTCGAGAGAAGGCAGCAGCAAGGCCTTTTCGTCGTCGATGCGAATCTTGAATGGGATTTCGACCGTTCTCGGGCCCTCTGCACTTTCTTTTCCATCTGGTTCTCCTTCCTCGACCGCATCGACTCCAGCAGCGGACAAACCGACGGCGCCAGGTCCGCCGGACCCAATGGTGCTGGCGAACACCTCGCATCCGTCGATCCAGACGACTTCGCTCTTTTCCAGGGGCGAGTGGACTCTTGCGTCACCATTGGACGTGACCACGGACGCGCGGAATCCAACGCGGACAGACAGGATCTCATGGTGCGCCAGAATGTTGGCGACGCTGACGTGGCCTTGGACATGGAGCGAATTTTGAGGTGTGGAAAGGCCGGGGAGTCCGT